ACTTTGTTTTTAGACAGTGTACACGAGCAGGATAACGATTTATGTTTCTGAATATTTTTTTTTTGGCCCTAAAATCATATTTGGTGATGATTTTGGACCGCCTTATAGATTTTTTGGTGATTAAAAAGAGGAAGTTCGATTTCCTCGAAAAGCCCATCACGGTGAATTTTGTTAACCAAAAGCAAGCAATGTAACACGAGACAGAAATTTTGAAGGTACAATGAAATGGTAAATATGATAATTTTTTAAATAAAGGAGACAAAAATAAGCTGCCAAAATAGCCGAAATTAAAGGCAAGGGATTTAATGAAACTTGTGAAGCTACTAAGAAAAGCAAAAGGTATATTGTTGGAAAAAAGAAACTACAAAAACAGCCGAAATTGGTGCAGAAACTCTCTTCAAAAACTGCGACTTTAAAACGCGCTGTTGTGCTAAATATGGCTTTCATTTTCACCTTCTGACCAGAAACAAGCTGTAAAGGACATAAAAGAACCGATGACGAAAAATGAAACTTAGTGGGTACAAAAAGGCAACAAATGAAACAGAAAGTTAAAAGACACGCCGTCAAAATGTACCTGAAAGGATTTGGCGTTTTTTGCGGCGAGTTTCATCATTCGCAAAGTACTATAAGGGATCTATAAAAAGCAATCTATTTCTCTCCGTCTCTTGAAAATCTTCCCACGACCATAGAATTTTAAAATAAAAAAGGTAAAAAATAAAAACACACTGCACGCAATCGAAAATTTTTTTTGCTATCAGCTTATTGCCTCTGTTGAATTGTTACCTTTTCTGATGTGAAAGCTTCCTTTAGCAAAGTTTAGGACTTTTCCGGTACAAAATAGAAGTAACTTTACAAATGTTTGTCATTGTAATAATGTTCGTTTGCTAAGACGACCTTGAAATCACTATTCTTTGAGTTAATTTCCGTAATCCACCATACTATTCGCAAAACCTGTGCGGTGTGTTTTGTTATCTTTTATTATTGCTACCGGTTAATAGGCCTCCAGTGTAAGCCAACCAATCGCGCGTTAGCGTCGGAAGTTATTTATGGTATTCGTATTAACTTCTGCATTAAGAAGCTTACGGAAATGTAAGCCCTGATATGGCCAAATGAAGACATTTGCCTTCTGTTCTTCCTTAATTTAGCAAGCAAGGTTTAATTGCAAGTAAACAAAATTTTAATTCTATTGCAAGTCGTGCTAATTTTCTAAGTATGTCACTATAAAAGAGACCAGTCAGATTTGGCGAAGCCACAAAACATAGCTCTTCGTCAAGCCAGTCTCGACTGCCTTTAGCCACCATCCAGCGATTTCCACCTTCTAGATTTCAAGACAGATCTAAAGAATGAAGTACGTAGTATTTTTTCTTGGTTTTCTACTCACGCTAGCTTTGTTTGCTCAAAGAACAGAATGCTTTACAGCTGGAATTGGAAATGTTGGAGTCAATGGTAAAAGGCAAGTCAAAGTAAGTCGAAAACATTTGTTTGCCTTATACATGAAACAGAAACTCAAACCGAATATTACCATGTCAAGATGGATTTGTGAAAGGAGCGTAAACAGTATCAATTTTTTTCTTGAGCCTTTGCGATTCCTGTTGGAGATTCTGTTAACTAAAAAGTTAAAAAATAGTCTCCTGCACATAATGTAAGGCGCGTCCAAATTGCTAAAACTTTTGCTTCCTTTATAAACGGTCATATTTATCATTTTTTTTCTTGCTTTGGGCCAACATGAATGGATGTTAAACAAAAGAGGTATTTGAATCATCTTTTGGCGTCTTCCGTTTTACTCCAAGTATTGAATTAAAAAACAAAGAAATCTTATCTACCACAAAATTCGAAGTGATAAAATCTTGACGTCTCTTAACAGAATGCTGTAAACATTTTAACAAACCAACTTCAGAAAAGCTCAGTGTACGAAATCAGTGAACTTTGCGTAGATAAGCGGGGGTGGCTGAGGAAGTTCAAAGAGAATGTCGAACTCTGAAAGAAAAAAAAAGCAGCTGGAGTCGGAAAGTTTCAATGGACTTAAACATGAAAGAGTTTTAAAAGTTTTATTTTGAACAGTTTTTGCTTTGTTTCATAGTACTTTCTTGTACGAATCTGTTATCCTCTCGCGTTTATCACTAACGACTAAATATTTTCGCGTAAGAAATATTTATTTTATTTCACTTTCAAAAAAGAACGCACACTTTGAGAAAGCACTAAAACTAACAGTCGATTTAATGAATTAAATTGCCTTGCTTCATTGTAATGGTGTCCCTTTCATGCAAAAAGACTGAATCACTTTGCAGAAGATTATAAGAGCCGAAATCTTTTGGCATCGAAGTGAGACTCGTAGGATAGTGTCATCTGAATTTCATTTGCGGTCGTATATTTTAGATAATATAAAATACTGAAATTTGAAAAAAAATTAAATAAAATGAATGGAAAAAAAGCTACTACTAATACAAAAACGTTTTTGTATTTCCAGACCTAAAGCTGACGGTCCAGGAAAAAAATCGAATAATAGATTGAGACTTTTACCAGCTGTCTTTCCCACAGTATTTCGGGTTTCTTTGTTTTGCTATCTTTTTTAGCTACTCAAATATAAGGCAATTAAAACGAGAAAAATAATCGCAGCAGCGTTTGTGCATCAGGAACCAAGCAAAAGAAAAAAAAAAAGAATAAAAACGGCTCGAAAGCATTTAAAGCCCTGTCTTTGAGGTAATCGATAACCAAATTATTATGCGGTGTGATTTTCATATTTGGCCATTTTGTACAATATTGGAGAGACGAATCGGAATCGTCAAAGCCAGACAGATTACTTATCGCGGTTAGCGCCTAAATTGCAATTTCAAACAAGTTATTATCATTTCAACAGGTTTTCCAATTACTATCACTTAGAAATGTTTGCTTTATTTTCCTGTAATTTAGACCTTCCAATTGTCTACCTTTGTCTCATTCTCGCTCTACCCGTCCCTCAATCAAAACCACCTTTATATTTTAACACTCACTCATCGTGACTTTGGTTCGATTCTTAGGTTCACCAGGCCCTTGATCGCGTCTGCCGAGAAACACTGGCCATTTGCGTGGAGGCTGGGAAAGACTACAGATTAAGATCGTTAGAAGGGACCCAAACAAAGAGAGCTGACAACTGATGGATAAAATAGGACCAATACCTGTACACGTTATGAAACCAAACAACTCGGCCACGATCCAACTCAAAAAAGGAACACAGTTCACGTATTAAATTTCACTGAACAGTGTTTGATTTGCTTACAAAGTTTCATTAATTGTAAATTTGAGAAGAGTTATTTCTGACGTTGATGTAAAATATGGTGATATAAATATTCAATAAATGAAGTACACACAAAACGGGTTTTTCGTGTCGCTCAAGATCTTCCCATACGCTTTTGCCAAAAAATTAACAGCGCGAAATTTTTCAAAAAGAACCACTTCTCACCTTTAGTTTAGTTCTACTTACTTTTCATTGCAGGCCTCTTCTTGTTTAAGTCATTTTTCCTTCTCTCCTTCCCTTTCTTTCTTCTTTATCCGGTCTAGTTTTTTTGCGCCTTCCCTTCGCTTTACCCCAAACAAGTAAGCATAACAAACAGTATTGTACCACGCGAAAGTATTGCCCTTGTAAATCCGGTTTACATTTAAATTGTTACTTACCCCTTTCATAATTTCATCCACAGGCATACAAGCAAAAACCACCTTGTAAAGCAAAATAAACAGTACCACAGGAAAGTACTGCTCAGTAGCTTTCATTTGAATGGTCACACTTTAGGATTTTATCTACAGACTCAAAAGTTAGAACCACTTTGCACAGCATAAACTCAGTACAGTAGCCTTCATTTTATCCCCAAAGTCAGAAGTAAGAATCACCTTGTGCAGCATAATAAACAGTACCACAGGAAAGTACTGCTCAGTAGCTTTCATATGAATGGTCACACTACAAGATTTCATCCCCAAAGTCAGAAGTTACAATTACCTTGTGCAGCATAATTAAGTACAGTACCACAGGAAAGTACTGCTCAGTAGCTTTCACTTGAATGGTCACACCATAGGATTTCATCCACAGACTCGAAAGTTAGAACCACCTTGGGCAACATAATAAACAGTACCACAGGAAAGTACTGCTCAGTAGCTTTCATTTGAATGGTTACACCATAGGATTTCATCCACAGACTCGAAAGTTAGAACCACCTTGGGCAACATAATAAACAGTACCACAGGAAAGTACTGCTCAGTAGCTTTCATTTGAATGGTTACACCATAGGATTTCATCCACAAAGTCAAAAGTTAGAATCACCTTGTACAGCATAATAAACAGTACCACAGGAAAGTAGTGCTCAGTAGCTTTCATGTGAATGGTCAAATGAAACTTTAACAAAATCATCGACATACTCAAAGGTTTCATAGATCTGGGTTGCTTTTCTTCTTTATTTTTTCTAAAAAAAATAAAAAATTCGTACTCCTTCATTCATTATTCGCATACCTATTGGTAGCAATTCGTGCTCCTTTTGTATATTTTTGGCTTTCAACCTCTAACTTAATGCACATGCAGTTTTTAACCAAGGTTTTGAAAATATGCTTAGCAAAATGAACTAGATATTTTTTGAATAAGATATTAATTTGCGATCAACGATGATTTCAAAATAACTTACGCAGCTGATGACAGATTTATCGTCGAAACATGTCTCAAAAATTAAAGAAAGTTGTACTGTTCTACTAATGTATTATTCAAGTTTTGTTTTAACGCTACAGATGTAGCTTCTGTTGAACTTACTGCAGTACTTTTTTCCAACAGGTGATTCATGGAAGATTCTTAAGAAATTGAAAAATTTCATTTCATTCAATACGTCTTTGCTGAAACTGTTGATAACAGAAATCTCGAAACTTGCTTAATTTTTGAGAGCCTTGTTGCTCCTATTGTTGTTATGACAACAGAGACGACCACACAAGACCAACGTTTCTGAAAAGCGCTACATTTTTTTTTTTCATTATACAGTCCTCCTTGATTAATGCAGCTGAATAAATGATTCTAGTCTCTTCGGAACTATTCCTTCATAACACATCTTTTCTCCCACGATCTTCCGAGCCGCGAGGCACTGGAGACTAGGCACCAGTTCGGCAGCGCGTATAACATGGCGAACTTTCTCACATCTCGCGAGATCAAGAGCAGTCTTCCCTGAAGAATTCCGCGCGTCCATATGAGCGCCTGACTTTAACAAACAGGAAAGCACGTCTTTCTCCGCGTGACCTTTGGTGAGTAGTACATGAAGCGCTGTGTTTCTGGCATCGTCTACTACGTTCAAGTCAATACCGCTGTCCAGCAAGAACTCGCAGACTCGGAGACTTGGAAAGTGAAGGTGTTCCTTTAATGAGCTGATGTCCTCGGTTTTGGAACTGCACGCAAGGTGAAGGAGAGTGGAGCCTGTTGTACTCCGCAAACGAGCCCTAGCAACTTCTTTGCCCGTATCCATGGCAACAACTACGTCACGCTCTGCTGTCGCGACTTCCAACATGGCGGCCAGGTAGTGCAGGAGATAGACCATCATTTTGTCACGTGCTTCATACAAAGTAGGATAGGTTCTGAGGCCTTGGAGAACACTTCTGATGACGTGATGGACTGTTTTGAACTGAAGAACAGCCCCACTGCGACTCAGAACGAAACCAAAAGCATCCGCAAAGCAACGGAACGTGTTAAGAACATCTTCAACCGCTTCTGACGATGAAGGAAGCGATTTAAGCTGTACCTCCAGGACGTAGAGCCAGATGTTTAAACTTCGACAAAACTCGCCGATCTGCGCAAATCTTTCTCCGATAGTCCCCAGGAGGGAGGGGAGGCGGGAATGTCTATCACCCAACACACGGTCACAAATTTGCAGCGCTTGCGCAGTAGCAGCGCTGGGATTCGACAAAAATGACATGAAATCACTCAACGTCCTCGCTTCTAAGAAATACTCCAACGGAAACTCGCGAGGTGCACTTGCAGGAAGACGAACGCCATTCGTGCGCCTGAGCTCGAGGGATTCTTTCCAGAAACTCACCACTGCAGAGATATCCCAATCACGGGATATTTCCTTAGCCAACAGACCAACGCCAAGCAACTCCAGAGCTTCAACTTTGTCTTTCATGGTGAACCCGCTGACCGTGTTAACCAGTGTGCGTGTCATGACTTCGGAGCCTTCAAGCGCTGCAGCTCTGAGCGCCGTGTCACCATCATGATTTTTCTGTAGTGGCCCCCTGTGATCTATTCCCAAGAGATAGGTCATGGACGATAGATCACCTGAGCGTGCGCACTTGTGGTAGACAGTATCGCCTGCAGAGTCCTGGAGCGAAGTACTGAGTTCCAGTCCTCTACCATGTAGCAGTTCAAGAGCTTGTCCGCACCAGGCCTTGCTCTTCAGAGCAACTGAGACAGGTGTCTCTCCTAATGCATTCTACATCAAAAGAACAGCGCTTACACTTAATAGGGTAGAGTTACAAAGATGTTTCTGCCACTAGAAGTGTTCCTGTTAGTAATATATAGATTTAGCCAAGGCCGAAAGCAAAGCTCTCGAAGGATCTTTTAAGAAATGTCTTTCTCAAGTAATTCAAATTTGGCCGCAAGCAAAAAGCAAACTGAATACCACCTTAAGAAAATGGACCTGAGCCTGCGATCAACTAAAGACCAAAACAGAGGAAAACTTTAAAAAAATGTCACCTGAATGAGTTGTTTACATGAAAATGCAATACAGTCATGAGACACTGGTCAGCAGATACCCTGTTTTGACAGCTGTCAATTGACCATAGCATGGATGACCAATACGAAGTGAACACAGAGAGTGTGTACCTTGGACTCCTAGCTATTCAGCGTGCCATTTCACATCCGCTAACATGAAGGAATGGATGTACGGACAATTTTTGTCAGAACCAAAATTTCTTGGATGCGTAGATAACCAATTGTCTTATTCACGGTGTTCTGCTGATGTGCTAGCTCGGCTAAAATACAATAAGAGTTGCCTGCTTTTGACAAAAATCAAAGCCACTATACTACAATGCTTGTACTACTACTAGTAGAAGAAACAGTTGCAAGGTATCTCTCTAGAGTATTGGGCTTGGTTCCTGAAAGGCCGATTAGCACTAAAACCAGGATTAAAATTTGCACTTTTTGCATTTACCTTCCTATGCATTGCTTAGAGTAACAATTTGTGTAAGTTATCATTACTGTATCTCAGAGTAAGGACACAACAGTATTTTGAAAGCTTGAGTTACATGTTTAGAGAAGAAAACTTTGCTTAAAATTTGGCTTAATCCTGGGATAAACTTAATCATCTTTCGAGGAACTGGGCTGATGCCACAACAAAGTTTATAACATCTTCATGTTGCCACATATTTCAAAGAAGTTAGACAGATTCTATATAATTACAAAGTCAATTAAAGCCTGAGTCATGAAATTTTTAAGTAGAAAGAATGAAATCTTTTACATCCATGACTCCCCTTCAAAATGTGCTGGAATTTATTTTGGTCAACTACTTTTACATTGTGCTATTAATAGGCCCTTTTGCAAGTTACCCCAAAGTTCTCTTTCAAAGCACGGCTAAGTGCAAACCTACTGATTTGAAAATGATTTTCATTCTCATGCAAATAAAACTCATTTTCACAAGTTTTGTACTTAACCTTGTTCTGAAAGTGAGAGTTTTTAGAAGTCAGAAAGGGCCTATTTTTCAGCACTTTAAAAAAATGAACTTTAGGAATGAGTGAAATTGTTCCCAGACTTACCTTCATTTCCATGTGAACTCCAGTACTCAGCAGCTGCTCAAGACACTTTTTATGACCACTGAACTCTCGATAATGTCGTATACAGATGTGCAAAGCAGTGTCACCCTCATTATTCATCAGATCCACTTGAACTCCCTTTCTCAGCAACAGAGGTACGATTCTATCCTGACCACGCCTACAGCAGATCATGAGGGGCGTGATGCCATTCTTGTCTGATACATTAGGATCAGCTCCTTCATCCAGCAAAATCCTGACGATTTCCACACTGCCTTTCTCACAGGCCATCATTAGACATGTCTCACCATTTTCATTGGCAACATTTATATCCATTCCTCTTGAAGGTGTGGAGAGGAGCCCTAGACAGCTTTGTTGTCCAGTTAGTCCGCGGAGCTTTAGAGCAGAGCTGAGTTCACTTTTCAACTTGGATTTTGAAGTGTTTCTAAGTAATGCAGTTACTATAGTAACATACCCTTTAGCGCAGGCTAACATCAACGCCGTACTCCCTCGTTCAGTGGACTTTGACAAATCTGCTTTGTAGTCTATGAGGTGCTGTAAACTGGCAATGTCATTAGAAAGAGCACAGAAATGAGCTGCTGTGAGGCCTTTGTCAGATCTCTCATCCACTGCAGCACCTCTCTGAAGTAAAAACAAAACAACATCAGGGTGGTTCTTCTCGCATGCAAGCATCAAAGGTGTGATACCCTCCGAGGTTTTAGCATTTACTGCAGTCATGTTTGGCACTGGAAGAAGCTCATGCAACAACATAAGATTATTTGCTGCCGTAGCACAGTGGATCATCGAGAAGCCTTGATTATCTTGCACATCCATGTTTGCTCCAGATGTGCGCAGCAATCCAAATGTACCAAGGTGCCCATTCCAACAGGCTACCATGATGCATGTGTTGCCATCTTGATTTCGCTTGTTGACATCTGCACCGTGACTAATCAAGCATCGTATCACCTATAAAAACATCAGAAACACAAAATATGTTAAAATGCCCGGGCACAAAATATTAATCCACACACACTGCTGTAGGGCACATGCTAAGGGTGCCAAAAAGCCTAAAAAAAACTATTTAGATAAATCGCTACTCTCTCCTTACAATTGCCTCGTGTTTTCTTTCTTGTGAAACAAAAAGAGAATTTGACATTGGATGAAGAGTAAAACTGCCTTCTTCCCAGCACTCATTTCAAGTTAAGTATCAATGACTGTAATTTAAACACAAATGCCTTTTAATCTGTACCTCAGTGTGGCCATTAAAAGATGCTGCTCTCAACGGGGTCGAATTCGTCAGTGTGGTATGATTCACCTCGGCCCCACGCTCTAACAGCAACCTGACAATTGCCAAATGACCTCCAAGAGAAGCCATCCAAAGTGGTGTGCAACACTCAATAAGGTCGCCATCGATTTTAACTGTTCCCTCTTGCTCCAAGTCAACATCATAATCATTAAGGAGGCACTGTACTATAGCAGTGTTACCATTTCTTGCAGCTACGATTAGTGGCGTGGCACCATCAGTGCGGGTTTTAAGCAAGAAGTCTCGCTTCACAATTGTCTCAGCATCAAGTACTCTTTTTAATTCTGAGACATCGCCTGTTCGGGCTGCTTCACTGACTCTCAGTATTGGAGACACAAGAACTAGCATAAACAAGAAACACATTATAAACCCAGCTGTTTATGTCACAGTATTTGCTACTCTTTTGACCCTTTAAGTCCCAATGATGACCAACATCAATTTTCTCCTAACCATATCCATAGAATGTCCAGAGATTAGGTTATGAGAATTAATAAATTGATCACCTAAGAGAAAATGCCTTAAACTTTTATCAAACTATCTCAACTTATTCTTTAAAGAAATGTATAGAGATCAGTTTGGAGAATTTGTATGTGGATATTGGGGCTTCAAGGGTTAATAGTCCATGGGCCAGATGTATGGTGCCCAGATGCAAATTTCTGTAGAGACGACAGAGGTAAGTAAAAAGACACAATTTCATGTCGCTTTATTCATGGCTTTATTTTTTTGATAATTTTTCTTTAAAACTCATGGCATGGGTACCCTGTGGTATTTTGCTCCAGAAAGAAATGCCACCGTACAGTCACGTACAGCAACTTAACAACTGCAAACAACCTGATTTGGAATCTCTTTGCCCTAAGCTTTCAAACGGTATATGACTGCAAAATCCCCCCCCCCCCCCCTGGGGGGGAGGGTTTCACTTGCTGGACCACGGACTATTAAAGCTAATATGTTTCTTCACATCAATTGAATTCTTAAAATAATGATCCAGTCTTTTTTAATTAAGAATACCTCAAAATTCCGAAAATAAGCCCCTCCAGATATAAGCCCCCCAAACGCGTAACGCAAAAAACCCTGTGTTAAGTCGCCCCTCCAAATGTAAGTGACAGTCCACTGAATAATATTAAACTGTTCAGACGGTGTTCAGGGTCCTTTATAATGGTGTTGAAAGTACTATTTTGTGTTTGTTTAAATGTAAATTTAAATGTAAATTAGCATAATTTGTATTATATTTGCAAAAGTTGCCTAACTTAAAGCCTTGTACTGGTGTGAGTTTTTAGCAAAGCTAACACCCCATTTACAAACCAGTGAATGCTACATTCATCTCCTTTTTTGCTGTGATACGTAGCTTATTGTAAGCATAGTGAAATCCTATCCATTAGCCAACATTGTCTAGTTTTTTTTTTATAGTTTAAGCTTATTGTTGGCCCCTTGTTTACAAAGTGTAATGATTATTATTTTACCAGGATCTTCCTGCAGCCTAAGCTGTGATATTTTCAGCTCCTGTACGGCAATCACCTGTTCACCAGACACCTGCACCCCTGAAACATCCAAAGAAAAAAGCCACCCTTTTCTCCAGCCAGTACAGTGTCGCAAAACAGGTAGTGCCTCAGTCGGCAATTGAAATACCAGATGTGGCTGAGGAAACCGGACGCTCAGAATGAAAGTAACTTCACCCTGTACTAGCTTTAAATTCTCGCACAAAGATTTCTTGAAAGTAATCATCCTGTTCTGAGTCACTGAATCTTCACTGCTATGTAGTATAAAGGAAACGATAGACCTTCCACATGCTGTAGAAAAAAAGAAGGAAAAAGAAGGAAAAAAATTAAGACAAAGAAGGGAATTCATTACTTTTAAGAAACAAGTGGTCTATAAGGGAAGTTTTTGTATTATAACAAGCATGGCCTCACTGAGAATTCTAGTAGCAGGAGAAAGGCGTAACTTTACAGGAGAATCTTGTGAAACAGGCTCCATGTCTGAATAGAAAATTTAGTCATAGGCTGTCGCATGTTAGCTGGAGAATTCTGTGTAGTAAATGGAGAAATCTCTGATGCCTAATGAATGCCCTATGGCCTGCATGCCTTGCCCAAGTCCCTCTCCCTTTTTCACTTTCCTCCCTATCCCCTACCCTGACCCCATTCAATCCCTGCCATGCACACAGGCTGGTGAGGCCCTCTTAAGGTATTAGATCTGCTATAAAACCTTCCATTTGAAAAATTTACTTCTCAAATAATAAAGAATTTATACAGTAGCGATGGAGTCAGAGTCATAATCAGAAGAGTAGAACTTTATGATCCAGTGAAAACAGTGTTCTGATTATGCTTTAATACGACTCCATTGTTTATGGTCGAGCAAAAACTGGGTCGACGGAGTCACAAGCAGAAGCAAAAGAACTAAACTAATCACAAAGTGTAGGAAAGTGCATTGCGATTGGTTTGTCCTTTCACTTCTGCTTCTGACTCTGACATCCTGGTTTTCACTAGATCATAAGTGGAACGAAGCGACGGAGTCAAAAGTGGAGTTGGAAGAATATAGAAATGTTCTGGTTCTTCCGACTCCAATTCTGTAGAGCTCATGATTCTGCTTACAGCTTTGACTTTTGATTTTCACCAGATCATAAGTGCTCTTACAACTCTGCTTACGATTCCGACTCAAACTCTGTCACTAGTGATAACCAGCCTTTAGGGGGGTTATGTATGTCCCTCATCTGAATTTGAAAACGTATTGTCTTTTATTATATAAACACCAAATTAATGAAATACCAGGTGAGCTTTCATGCAAAAACTTGATATCTTCACATGTGAAAATATCACCTTTGCTATGGCTACATAATAACTCGTGCCTTTCACACCAAAAAACTATTAAAGTGAAATGGTTTGGTATTTCATTGGTGTTTACATAATAAATAGAACATTACATGGCCGCTTGGGGATACAAAATTTTTCTCCTCGCGTTGAAAAAATATTTCACTCGTTAATATTTTTCAACCCTCGAAGAGAAATTTTGTATCTCTGTGCAGCCATGTAATATCCTCTATATATGTTGAGGAGGAAGACATGTATTTTAATATTTGTACTTGCACTTTTCTCTGTTGCTGTCGCAGTTTCAACCCATCTTTGAATCATTTGTGGCCATTTCTGCTGCCCTATGGCACTGTTTCAAGCACGACGCTTGTCAGAGTTTTATCCTAAAAGGACCTTAGCTTGCTAGCATGCCTGCCACACTATAACAGGCTATGACAGGCATGACAAAATAATGCATCAATAATCATGGATCTTGGAAACTGAAATTTTGATCTGATCCTAAAAATCTCAGCAGTGTTTATGCAAACCTTGAAGTATCATGTTTTTCTTCTGATCCAAATTCTTGGAGCTCTGCACTTTGGCTAGACGTTCTTTTTGCTACCCCCGAAATTGACACAAGCAGATAAGGCCACATGTGTATGCAATTGTGTGTATAAGAATATTAAAGATAGAAATCAAGACACTTTAATTCTTTTTACATTGTTGTCCATTCCTTTGAGTGAGCAGCATTGTAAACAAAGAAAGCTGAATTTCGTGACTTTTTTAAATTATACAGAAATTATTTGATACTTCTGTAAAGAAAACATTATCCTATAAGCTTAATTAAACACGCGCCCAGGCATGAAAACAAATTACTCTGCAATTTTTTTTTTAAATTTTGCATAGATCTATTAGAGACTCTCAAAAAGCATGAAATTTGGACAGAAAGCCTTGCTAAATGTGCCAAAGTTATAAGCCGCCCTTTTAAGTATTTTCATTCCCGGACAAAGAAAGCAAGTTGTGAAATCTCAGAGAAGACTGCAATTTTCAGTCAGGTGGTCAAACCCTAAGCAATCTTACTCTTCAAAAAAGAATTTGTAGCAAGTTACGAATGCCATCAGTTCCGGTATCAAAAAAAGTGTATGATTATTGGAGCTAGTTGAAGATAGAAAATTTTAAAACTCACAACCACTGATTTAATTACCTGGAATCAGCTCGCCGATCGGTTCTGTGGACATACTTTCCAAATTTGAAGGACACTTCTTTTTATAATCACGTAACATATCTAGGATGTCTCTCCTACCACTGACGCCAAGCAGATCTTCGAGCAAATCCAAATCATGTTCACTGATACAGTGTGATTTCCACAGTTCAGCTAAAAGATCGCGAGCGGCATCGCATTCAACTCCGATCTTCAACGAAATAACATCCTTCATAAAGCGCTTCATGGCTCTGAGGTTTTCTTCAGTAAACATTGGAACAATTTCCAGCAAGAAATCATGAAAAGAAGGCACTAAAACCCTCGAGGAAATAGATCCACTATCAATCCCTCTTGCCGCCATTTTTAATGAAAACCTTCTTCGAGGCAAGGACCCTGTGTATCCTACACGATGTATCTACCTATGAACCGGAAGTGGACTTTTTGCGTTCTTGGACAGTGGTTTTGGAGCAACTACAGAAAACGGGGTCTTAAAGAGATTGGTTCGGTGACTCGTTAGTCAAGACAAGTGTTTATAGAACAAGAAAGATATCAGACATATAAGTGTAAGACAGGCATGATAAAGACAATTAAGTCTAAGTATAAAAGAACAAGTAAAGCAGTCGACGTTTAGCCTGGAGGTTAGAGTCTTCAAGAACGAGAAAGGTATATATTTTAGCGGCTCGGCGGCTATTCAGTAACTACCGAGCTACCTCAACGAATATATACCTAGAAAATTGGCCCTGTATTCTGTAGTTTAGTTGATTTTCTGCCCCGATAAGCAGTACAAACTGGCTGGCGTCAAGGCATATCAAAGGACAAAAGGTTTCAGTTCCGGTTGACGTGCGACCCTCAATGAAATGACTGACCATAATGACTGGATCGTTCAAAAAAAATGATTAAAACCATTGTACCCAGTGAGCACCCATCACTCCAAGGAAAGACTAGTGGTGTCACTATGTATTTCCCTACACACCGTAAAAAAGCTATCTCCTTTGCATAGCCCTCTCTCTAAAAAATTACTAGAAATACGTTCCAGTGCAAGCTTCATGCACACAAAATATTTCCGCCATATTTAAGATTTTTGCGCCAAAATATTGTGGCCATCAGATTCTTCGTGGTTCCCCGTTGCATTGACTAAAATTAATTTGAAAATTTCCCTTAATACCGAGAAGATTGATAGCAGTTCACCTACTCCCAATTTCCTCTCATCTCCGAACTGGCTAAGGGTATACGTCAGTAAAAAGCTTACAAACAACACATTTTTTTAAACAGAACGAAACAGTTGAGTGTTTATTCCAGAATTATAAATTACTGTAACAGGGTTTAAGACACCAGTCTATTATGTACTACAGAGAAGTATGGAGTTTCCAAATATTAAGTCTAGTTTTACCCAACGACACTGTTACATATGAGAGCTACCAAACTCTTAAAACAATCTCGTGAAAACGAAGAAAAATAATTATTACTTGTTTACGGACGGGCTTAAGACACTGAGTAAAAAGTAAAATTAATGTTTGTGATTTTAGCGGGGTTTAACAAGTGTAGTTTCTCTGTCCATCTCAAACTGAAAGCCACGTCCTCGTGAAAACGAGTGGGTGTTGCTCGGTGACCTGACGCCACCAGGACATAGTGTCCAGGCTTACGTAAACTGATAACATCAAGAAACTGCGCTGACAGCAGCTTCAATTTGAAGCAAAACCGCGGAGCTAAGGGGTTCTGGTAGTTGACATAGAATGAAGCAATCTAAAAAGAGTCTTAGTTACTCTTAAGAACTACGAATTACGTACTGACTTTCGATTTCTGGTCCGATCGATTGTATGTTTGATTCTAAAGTTATGACGCCCTAGTGCATAGTATGAAATAATCTGCGGTAAAACATTAGGTATGTCCCAGAATATTGTGAGTACGGGTGTACTGCAAGCAGATGTTTAGGTGAATTTGATCACAAAAGAATCATGCGACAATAGGAAAAAAATGATTTAAATCGTATTTTACTTAGCACTTTTTAGTGTTTGAAAATCAGATAAAACACTCATTCTGATGTGTGATATAATCGCTTTCTCGGTGTTTGAATATCATAACAAACACTGTTTCTCGTGTGTGATATAACACTCTTTCAGTGTTTTGATACGATAAGAAAAACTCCTTCTCACGTTTGATATATCACTCTTCCTGTGTTTGGATATCATAAGAAACACGCTTTCTCGTGTTTATGTATCACTCTTTCAATGTTTGGATTTGATAAGAAACATTCCCTCCCGTGTTTGATATAACACTCTTTCGGTGTTGGGATATCAGATGAAACACTCCTCGTATATATCACTTCTTGTTGCTTGGATATCGGTTGACACAATCCATATTTCACCGCACATTTGAAAGAGTGTTTTACCTATCTAACAACCGAGAACTCGGTGCTACAGACACGACGCAATGAGTTAAGAACCATACAGCTTTTCGTTTGTCACGTGAAGCAGTTTTATCTTTTTGGGGGCAAATGTTTTTGGTCAATTCATTTTGCCCTGAATATGTCCTGTGGAACGGGGCAGGTAAAGTCTATTGAACATTAACCCGTCCAGCGCACGTGAAACGTAGGTCGAACGTTTGTGTCAGTGGACAAAAGCCTTTGGTGTGACCATTTCAGTTTCTCTGTTACTGTTTTCCATTGCTAGGCACCACTTGTTTTTTAATTACTTTACGTCAGGATTTTAATGGAAGTTGCTTATGTCTGGCGCTCTGGATAAATTGACCTCTTTAAGTTGTATAGTTTGTTTATCAATGTAGGTCTCGAGGGGATTCACCTCTGTCGTTTCATAAATCAGAAAAGTTGAACGAAAATGTTCTCTGGAATATCATCAGATGACCAACAAAACATACAAGTTAGAGAAGTATATTAACTACACTACAGCAGCATTACTTTCTTTGCATCCTGAAAAAGGAGTTGGTCTAGTTAAACCATGATTTGGATTTGTGAAGTATCAAGTACTCTTCATAGGTGAGCGCCGTGTCCATCGTTGAAGAGTTCAAGAATTTTTAAAAGGATATCTGTCCGGTTCACTATTGCTTCGGCTCCTCGGGTCCTTTTTTTCGCCACCCTTTCCTTCACTATTGGCACGGGAATGCTGTCTTCTCCGTCGCCTGTTTCGAGCTCCCCCTCTACCACCTTTGCTAGAATCTCTTGGAGAATTACCAAAATTTTCCGCAGGTTCTGGTCCTTTTTTCTGCCTGTCGTTTGTGTTTGATGGAGACCTTTTCTGGTTAGGAGATTCACCTTTAGCTCCCTTGCTTAAACTTCCAGGGGAGTCCCCGGAATCGGCAGTTCCTACACTTTCCGAGCCTCTCTCTGATCCTTTGTTCTCTCTACCGTTTGTACTTGTGGAAGAATCCTTTTGATTAGCAGATCCACCTGTATCCCCCTTGATAGGACTTCCGGGGAAATCAGCGGAATCTGCCTTCCGTGAATCTTGTGAGCTCCCCTCCAACCCTTTTTTGTCCCCATTCTTTGTACTCGTTGGGGGTCCTTTTTGTTTAGGAGATCCGCCTTTACCTCCTTTCAGTTTGTGAGGACCTTCGAGGGAATCACTGGAATCCTTGGGTCGTGCACCTTGAGAGCTCCCTTCTGGTTCTCTTTTGCCCCCATTCTTTGTACTTGTTGGAGGACCCTTTCGGTTAGAAGCGCCATCTCCTCCATTCTTGATAGAATGTCCATGAGGATTACGGGAATCTGCCGATTGAACAGCTTGTGACCTCACCTCCGATCCTACTTTGCCTCCACCCTTTGCACTTGTTAGAGAATCCTTTTGACAGGAAGTTGCATCTGTAATTCCCTTACTGGGATTTCCAGTGGAATCTTCGGGAACCGCTCTTCGTGCATCTTGTGAGCTTCCACCAGATCCTTTTTTAACCCCGTTTCTTCCACTTGATTGAGCACTCTTTCGTTTAAAAGCCCCATCTTCAACCTCCTCGCCTGCACTATCAAGTGGATTACCGGAATCCCTCGTCCGCTTACCTTTCCGGCTCCTCTGCCGTCCTTTTTTCTGCTCATCCTGTGCATTACTTGCATTCTTCTTTTTTGGCACTGCCCCTTTCAAGCCTTCAGTAGAATTTCTGGGAGCGTTATGTCGTTCTGCTGTTCGAGCTTCCTGGTGGGTTATCTCTGGTTGCCCCTTATCCCTTTCCTTAGCACTACTGGGGGATTTCTTTTTATGCTGCGTCCCTGACTCGCTACTCCCCTCAACAATTTTCTGTTCTTTACTTTTCACTGCACTTCTTTCCTTTTGTGGTGACGTTCCCACTGCAATGTCGTCATATTTTTGTTCAGCATGGCCACTTTGTCTGTTACCCTTTGTTGCAATTTGCTCATCTTCTAGAAATTTCTCCTCCAGCTTCTGCACAGCATTTGTGTCCCTCTCAATGTATCTAGAACCTTTCGGTTTTCTTCCACGACCTCCGCGCCTAGTTGGCTTACGTGTTGGCAGTTCTTCAGGTGTTGTTCCAGTCGTTTGGTGCTTTACGTTTGTTTCTTCAGAAGTTTCGTCACTTGGAGATGAAGTAGCTTGCATTTTCCCATCTGATGGTACTGAATCTTTCTCTTTCTGATCCGCGTCAACTAACTTGATTTCATCACTTTCCTCGTGCGTGTCAGGAACAGGCCCCCAGGCCTCCCTTTTCGCTGGTAATTGCATTTCACCAGCAGAAAGACCCACGCCACTTTGTTCCTGTAAGTGGCCATTAACCGTGGGCTCTGGATTGGGACAGGTTCTTTCTGGTGCAAGCGAGAAACCCTCTTCCCAAAGACTTTTAACTTGATTGAGCTTAGATAACAACTTGTGTTCCTCAGGAGTTTCAGCTATTTTGAGGTCCTTTGGAGAGACAGTTTTGAGCTCTTTATGCTGACAAATGAAAAACGCAAAGAATCAGGAATATAAAAGACTATAGTAACCACAGAGAACCTCTTAAAAACAAAGAGGCGTTGATAATTGTCCATAGACAGTTTGCTGCAATTGACACCGACTGAAATAGGCACCACTTCGCTGGATGCAATGAATGTAAACTTTCAAAACTTTCACTCACAAAGGAAATCGCGCAAAGTTTTGACTCCTGACTCTCTTGAATTCTACGGTGGTAACACTTGAATGGAATTTGTGTATCACCTTTCTTGCAAGGTGCAATTTATTTTCAGTATTTCACACGCTGAATGTTAGCGAACGTTTGGGGAGTATCAGAATAGAATGGGTTAAAAAAGCATGGAAATGACGTGTTTGAATATACTGACCAGGCAAATCCATAAAACGCCCTTTCAAAATTTGATGATTGCTCATTTCTTCTGGATAATAAAGTGCTACTTCAAAACAGACATTCACG